GAGTTTAAGGGGCTGAAATATTAGGATAATGACTCCCTGCCCACGCTCAACCTTGACTATTCAAATTCAGCGTTCTCGCGCTCTTGATTATCAGCTACGCCCTCGTGGAAATTTGGCTGCTAAACTATTAATTCGGGAATCACGGAAAGAATTCACCCTTCAGGGTTTCGAATTCAGCTTTCATGCGCTGGTGCCTGAAATTTTTAAGTGTTTTCCAATGTTTGAATTATTTTTGCATAGACAAAAATACAAAGCAGTGAAAATCATTAATAGGCAATCGTTCGTTGGGCTGAATTGCAAAACGCATGATCGCACCGGCTAGTCTGGTGCGCGTTGCTATTTATTTTGTTTCAAACTGAAGCGCCCGTATAAATAACAATGTTTTGTTATGGAGTGAGGGAGAGGAACTGACCAGCAAGTATTTGCCAGTATGAATTCACATCGTCGCCGTCCTGGACTGCTGTCACCGACTGTTGGCCACTGCCCGAACCGTACTTTACGTCATGCGAATGCAGTCGAACTCCTGAAGTAAAGCTCATATCAAAACACCGAGCACAAAAGCAACCTGAAGTATTTACAGCAGCAACATCTCGTTTTTATTTAAAGTAACGAAATCTGGCCTTTAAAAAAAAGGGTAGACGGAAGGGGCCAACGTAAAACTGTACTCATTAAACAGGAGATGGTTTGGAAGTAATGTGTTAGTGTGGGATTTTTTTGGCCAAAAGTTTGAACTTTTTAGGCTTTTCTGAGTCCAGTAGATTCTTTGGGGCGGAGGATGGGGAGAGGGGATAGGACAATTTTACATGCCTACAAAAGCAAACCACATTCATCTCTTCAAGAAAATTTCTCTGTCGATAGAACAGGTATACCTTACTGCCTCACTGTAGTTTAAGAGTGATACCTTTTCAGACGAAGTGCTGATGCTCAAAAAAAAACATCAGAAACATGCCGAAGCGATCGAAAAAGCCCTACTGAGTACCCTAATCAAGAGAACCACAGGGCCAGTTATCCCTCTTGAGGAGGCAAAAACGAAAGCCACTACCGCCAGAAGGGTGACCACCGGTCCATGCAGCACTGGTCAAAGCAACCGAAACAGCTACCCGCAGCAGCAGTAGCAGTAAAACTTAAGAAACGGTCCAGGAATTAAGGCTGGTGCAAAGAAGCCAAGCGAAACAAAAAAACGTACCATCCTGGTTGTTTTTAAGCTTAACCACCGACGTGCACGTGACAAATTCATCGGCTTCCCGAGAAGCAGCACACGTACCGAGCACGCAGAACGCCGAGGCCACCAGCACACTCAGCAGCAGCAGCAGCATGCCCCTGCAAATCAACACTTCATCACCACCATCACCGTCAATCGCTTTGGCAGCGATCGCACCGTTCCATCTATGCACCTCCATCACCAAATCGTAGAGGCGCTGGCTGCCCCAGAAGCATTGGTGGATGCAGGGTGAGGGAGAGGCGACCCCCCAGGGGCATAGGTAGCAGCTGTTTTACTGTAGAAAAGTCGGCTC